TGCTCAGCTACTTAATGAGTGCAGGACCTGAAATGCCATCTGAAAATAGGAAACCTTTATCTTTTAACTCAGTTTTGCTTTCATGCATAACATGGTTCTAAAATCACAGTTGTGATATTTACTAGCTGTCTTTGCAAAACTGTGGGCAATACATCTTTCACATTTCATTGAGAAGGAAAGAAACTGTATCCTACCAGGATCTCCATTATTAGTTCTTTTTGATTTTTTCCCCATGGGGATTGTGAGTTGGCCAGAGAGCACTCTCAAGAATCCTTAGACAGATCTGTATTTTACAAAAGCGAACTGAAAAGCCAAAAACCTATTTCTGAGTAAAGAATTAAATCCTATCTTTTCATTTGGCCCACAATGTCCAAACGAGTCATTCTCTGCTTCCTTTTCAATATTGCACATTTGTTGTCTTATACAGCAGTTTACCTTCTTTTTAGTCAAGTCGTTTTCAGTTTATTCCATTGGGTAGCAGTAATTAACCACCCAATTGCATTCTCTATCCCTTTGATTCTACCAAATTGTAAAGAAGACTCTATGATCCACATCTTTAGATTGGATTCTCTCTGGGGAATGCCAGTTAAATTTCAGCATCTGCAAAAATTGAATTATCTCTTTCCATATTCATCACCAATGTTTATCATTCCATGGAGAGGAATTGTGTAATTAAATGTCTGACAATCAATTCAATGGGAAATTGTTTATTTCTTGAGTTAGCCTAATTCTTATTTTTAAATATAGTGACATCTCTAGTCTTCAGGTGGTTGCCCTCCTGATCAAAAATCTCAAGAATGGAGAAATAGGGCCTTCCTGGTGGCCTAGGGGTTAAGTCTCAACGTTATCACCACTACAGCCCAGCCTGAGTTCATCCCCAGCCAGGGAGCTAACCCATATATGTCACAGCAGACCTCTCCTGTCTCGCCCGCTGCTCCCATTAGCAATGTATTTCAGCAGATCCACCTGTTCTGCTCCCCACTCTGTCTCTACTGAATCCTCTCACCCCCACCCCACACCTCTGGCCTTCATCCCAGTTCTTCTGGGATGAAGAAAAAGAAAAAGAAAAAGAAAAAAAAAAAGCAAAAAAAGAAAAAGAAAAGGAGAAATAACTCCAAGGTCACCTATTATGTCACAAATGGTTTTAAATAGTGGAATATTTGAAAGTTTTCATTCCAAATCTTTTTTCCCGTGGAATAAATAAGGATAATCTTCATTTGCCACTGTGTCACCTTTGCCCCTTGTCTTAAAGTTGTCTGAGAAAATGTACTTTCTGTGTAAGCCAGCGGTGTTACTTCGAGAAAAATATTCAGTTATCTTGTTCTAGTGTTGTTAGGCATGACTAATAAAAGCATGTAAAATCCACCGATAAAAGCAGATAAAATAAATCCCAATCTATCGTTTGTCTTACAGACTCACGTCTATGTACATGAATTCAGTTTCACCTTCCCCCCTCTAGCAACGGAGAACAACATGGATTTTTCCCCTAACTAATCATTTCCTTTCTTCAGTCTTGGCCTTTGTAAGAGAGTCTCTCTGTCTGGAATGTACTTCCCTTTTCTTCACTATCCATTTATATAAATATCTACCCTTTCTTCAAAACTCTGTTCATATTTCATGTTTACGAGGCTTCCTCTAAACATCTTGTTGGAACACATACACGTAGCTGTTTTCTCTCTTCCTGTGCCTCCACAATAACACATAGATCACCCCATTGAATTAGAATTATTTGTTTACATGCTCTACTTTTATTATTGCAGGATCCTAGAGGTCAAGTTATGTTATTTGTCCATCTTTGGATCCCAGGACCTAGCTCATTACTGCCAAGGCGACACAAAGTTCGATCCCCCGCCAGGGAGTTGACCCACATGGCACAGCAGACCCCTTCTGTCTTGCCTGCTGCTCCCCTCAGCACTGTATTTCAGTAGATCTGCTGTTCTGCTCCCCACTCTGTCTCTGGTGAATCCTCTCACCCCACCCCACCTCATCTCTGCCCTACACCCAGCTCCTTTATGCATAAATAAATAAATCTTTAAAAAAATTATTTGTAAATTCTGGAAAACAATGCTATTATTTTTCTAGATCAATGTCAGTACCTGTGGCCATAATGACCAAAAGTAAGTAAAAATGCATTTTTAAGTTTAATTTTAAAAATTGTTCATGAGGCACAAGTAGATTTTTAAATTCTTAATTGAAATTTAAAAAGGGGGGGGGAATCTGAATTTATTTGACAAAATGAACTCCTGTTTAGAATAAATAATATCTTAAAATGAGGACCTGAGTAAAATCAGACTTTTTCAACTAAAAGGTAAATTAAAGGCTAACTCTTGTGACCTCCTTTTGAAGATGAGTCTTAGTGGTTTATTTGCAAAACAGAAAGAACAATTGGACACTGTTAAGGCTAAGCATTTGCACTCTGATTATTTTGGGGGGTGACCCAATAGGAGGGTCAAGTGTACCTTACCTTACTAGTTTATTAACAGTATAGATGTAGCCAAATTGTATTTTGTACTTTTTCCATTCAGTTTAAACTGAACCAAGACATTTTCTATTTTTAATACAAGCATAAATAGAAACCAAATTATAACCAATTTATAAAATTATTCATTTAGGATACATAACATTCCACTGTGCTTATTGCTTTGTTCCTTATTACTTCACTGATAGCCACAAAGATTTCATTTTCTGCTAAGATGATTAAAATGATTTTACTATGAATGTGCTTGGATGCTTGGAAGAGAGGAAGCATGGTTTATGAGTTTCAGAATAGCAATATTTAAAAACATAGGCATGAAAGAACTTTTGTAAGCATTCTTGGAGTGATTTTTTTTAATCTCCTCTCCCACCCCCACCCCCAACACCACCCCAAGTTTAAAAAAAAAAAAACAAAACCTTTGGGTGGAGTTAAGAACTCTTTTCAAATCTTAAACAATAAGTGGAAATCCTGAAAATGTATTCTCCTTTATCCAGTGGGGGAAACATTTTAAAGTCCCTTTTCTCCTGAAGAATTGTTCAGCTAAGGATTTACTTTAGTGGTTTCTATTTTAAACTGAAAAGTCAGTTATAAATGCCTGAAATATAATGCTGTGCTTCCCTCCCCACCCCCACCCCAGCACAATTCTTTTTTCCCCCCAAACACAACAAATACGTGGTGCTAAAACCCAGATGAAGATGTCAACTAAGTTAGATTACTTTAACCAAGTGGTGAAATGAGTTAAAGACTTTGAATATGTATTTTAAAATGTGAATCTCATTGCATCTATAAAACATGTAAAGTACACCTGTAAATGTAAAAGTGTTTAAGTATTCTGATTAATAAGTAATCATGTCTTCTATATTTATTTACCAGAGTGGAAGTAGCTAAGAGGAGGAAATAGTTGCAATTGACATATCAACATGTAGTTAGTGGACAGAGAAATGGACCAGAAGACTAAGCTGGAAGATCAGAGTCACAGAATCACTAGGAACCCAGAATCCTTAAGTCTCCTGGGTTCACTCATATAACTGCCTGGAACAAAAGCATCAGGCAAGTGGAGACAACCCCCCAAATTTCTGAATTTAGTAAATGTATTTAAAATTACTTTAGAAGTGTGAAGGGATATACAAAAGTGACATACCTTTATATTTTAATATTTAGGGTCTTTTAAGTTGATCAATTCCTATAAATACAATTCTGGCCACTCTTTCATGTAAAAAGGGGGCTTCATCTCTTTTCCATTAAGCATTCCAAGACAAAATGCAAACATTTTATTTAGAATTTATGTGCATTTCAAAGAATGCTTAAATTCCATTTCTCAATCTTGATTACAGTCTGACATTTGTTACATAAACATGGTCCTTTTCAAGAGTATCTTGCATACAATTCTTTTTGGTCTTATTCAGAGAGACACAGTCTCTAATATCAATCTCAGTTTTGACTCAAGAAAGCCTATGTGGTACCAGGTTTTCTAGTTTCGGGAAAAGGAGGATGAGTTATAAACCATCTCAATGGACACATGCCTAAAATAGCCAGGCCTGGGCTACTTAACCCTAATCTTTTCCTGTTCCACCAAGCCTGCATAGGACAGAGGCAGCCACCACAGAACCACTCCCATGTCATCCACCTGAAAAACAAAACCAAAGGAAGACAGAGGCTCTACTCCTCCCGTCATGTGTGACTAACTAGGGAAATCAGAACACCATGCGTGACTGACTAGGGAAATCTTAACATTTGCAATCCTCTGCCTCTTATACTTCAACTTGAAGGTGTGTGCAAAGGAATTGAATTGCAACTTTTCAAAGGTACAGGTCTGAGGGCAGTACCTGCTCCTTCATTTCCATTTGCCCAGAAACATCTCTAAGACAAATTCCTGCTTTCTTATGGAAAAATGCTGAACACATTCTATTTGTCCATTTCACTGTTTTTGCAGTTAGCTGTCACTTTACAGTGTTGATGCCTAACCTTTCTTATTTCCTAAAGTTGCTTTATATGCGTTATGTAGAAAATTGACATTTTACATTTCAACTGTTTTTTATTCATGCCTCTTTAGGCATCTCCCAGATGAGTTAGATAAAAACATAGAGGGCAAAATAAACTGGCCATAATTAAATGACAAATGCTAACTTACAAATTCTTCAACAAAGCATACAAAACCAGAATTTAGGACATTAAAAAACATCAAGAATATGCATAAGGTCATAATATTTATATATACAACATACATTGCCTTTATTAGAAGGGAGTTAAAAGAAATGTTCTTTTGTTACTTAATTTGCACAATATATAAAACATTTTTAACTCCCTTCTAATAAAGGCAATGTATATTGTATAGTAATTGGCCTATTTTGTCAAATAATATAACACCCTAGATAGTGATGTATACTAAGTATCTCCACCAAAGATTTTGTGGGAACAGCCAATCTTAAATGTCTTGCCCATATACCTATAACTTAGCACTTTTTGAAAACATAACTGAACGTGGGAAAGAAGATCAATATTATCAAATTTAACCAATACTCACGAGAGGATATTCCCTATATAGGCATAGTAGGAGCAACAGTAGGGTGTGGTTCCATCACAGCAGTACGATCTACAGTCTTTGCCACACTGAGCAAGGCAATCAACTGCAAAAGAATGATATAAATGCAGTTATAGTTCAAATTATTCTATTTCACGTCTAGCTTGGTCAATGACCACTGTTTAGTACATTCAGATTTTTCATTTGACATATTCAGAATTCTAACATATTTGTAAGCATACGTTGATCCTTCTTCCTAGTTAGACATAAAGTAGAAAAGGCGGGGGTCTCCCTGGTGGCACAGGGGTTAAGATGCAGTAATATGAGGCTGTCCACAGCCACTGCAGTGTGAGTTGGATCCCCATCCAGGGAGCTACCCACATGGCACAGCAGACCTCTCCTGTCTTGCCCGCTGCCCCCTCAGCAGTGTATTTCAGTAGATCTGCATGTTCTGCTCCCTACTCTGTCTCTGTTGACTCCTCCCACCCCCCAACCCCGCTTCTCTGGCCTGCACCCCAGCTCTTGTATGCACAAATAAATAAATCTTAAAAAACAAAAAAAGGTAAAGAACATTCTTGGAATATCCTACATCATGCACCATAATTGGTAGTCAGAGTTGGTTGAATGAGATAATGAACGATGACCCAAGCATTCATTCTTAATTTGTCAATGGGGTTCTTCTAATAATTTTTAAATGATAAATTCTTTAGACTTCATTTGATGGAAAGTGTTACTGACACAGATAATATCAAACAGAGATAATTTTAAAATAATATCTATTTTCCATGCTTGCTTTCTCTATGATTTTTTTGCCTTCATGACTAGTTTGTGTACATATGGTAACAAATGAGTCTACACAGCATGTCAATCCACTTGGATTAGAGGTTTGAGTTAGTAGTAGGAAGAAGTCCCCAAAAAGAATTAATTAATTAAAAGTTTATTTAACATCAGATTTAAGAACCAGTAAGCTGGGAAACAACACTAGGTGGGGAGGGAAAGGTAATTTCTGATTAAAAAAGAAGTATTGAAATTTGACAAAACAAAATCGCTGTCCTCTTTCCACGTGGCTTTAGCAAGGAAAATTATACCAAAAATGTTGACTAAAAAAATTGGTATAACTTTTAAAAACTCCTAATTCCACCTAAATAATATATTTTGTATTTTTTGCATAGAAGAGCTTGGGTGTAGGCCAGAAGTGCAGGGTGTGAGAGGATTCACCAGAGGCAGAGTGGGGAGCAGAACATGCAGATCTACTGAAATACACTGCTGAGGGGGAGCAGCAGGTGAAACAGGAGAGGTCTGCTGTGCCATGTGGGTCAGCTCCCTGGCCGTGGATGGCACTCAGGCCATAGTGGTATGATAATTTGAGACTGAACCCCTAGGCCACCAGGGAGCCCCTCTACCTAAATAATTTTTAACAAGGTCATGATTTAACCTTGATGTATATAGTCAGTGATAGATATAAATTATAATGTACATATGACTTTTGGTATGTGATTAGAAAAACATTAAGTGTAGTTTGATAATTCAAGTTATATAATCAAAAATCACCAAATAAGTCATTTTCAACTCAATCTCTGAAGATAATATCAACTTTTTTCTAAATTATGTAAGAATTTGCTTTCCTGTCAGAGTCATAAAAGTGCAAGCTGCTTATGTCTTCATGCCATGCAATTGATATGTCTAGAAAGGAAAATTTAGATTGTGTTTTTAAATCATCTCCCTCCCAAAATGATTCTTTACAGTGAATGTGATCAAAACGTAGTAACATTCATCTGTCTCCATCGATATGGAACATGTGAAGAGGTTCTTACTTTCCTCCAATTTTATTTCTTGCTCATATTGACAAACCTCAGTGTTTTCCTCCAGGAAGGGGTAAGAAGAAATGAGAGGGAAAATTACCTTTGTAAGATTCAGTACCTCTACCTAAATCCACTTACACATTTTGAATACAGCAGCACCATGTAATGGTTTATTGACAGCCCATTTCTTTTTTTTTTAATGCAGAATACATGACACTTTTTAAGGCTATTTATTTTACATTTTCCCCAGGGAACTTCTCTAGCTCTCATTTTAGAGCTATTTAATTAACTGATATATTTAAACTGGTCCTTTTTCTCAGTATTTTAGCAGGGATGGTTTGCTGTATGCTCTTAAAAGGCTTTGAGATAATTGCAAGGAGCCTAATGTTCCCACCTATTCTGTTGGAGCAGGACAACCGATGCATGAGTAGCTTCATGGAAAGCCATTTGAAAGATGACCAGGAGAGTGACATCTTATCCCATAAATATCCAAGATTCATTTACTACTATTCTACTCCAATTACTGGTATTATATGGACTTGTTATCAAAACATTTTGTGCCGATGCTACAGGAAACCAAACCCAAAATCTTGTCGCCAAGAAGCTGGATTACACCTGTAGCAAACATCTAGATCATGTGACCTATTGTTCATAATCTTTATGGCATTTCCCAGCACTGTCTACTTCCCAGAATTAAATGAATAAAAGTGCATATTTTTTATGTTTAATATATTTTATTTTATATAATTCTTACATCATTTTTCATTTTTGCACAATGTATGCATTTGCATTTTGGTTATATTCCCCATACAATTGCACCCCCCTTATTTTGACCCTAATCCCTCCTCCCTTCTCTCTCCCCGTAGAGTGTCCCTAGTTTATAGTGGCTTGTTGATTTTGATTTTTTCTTTAATATAATTAGTTAAAAGTGCGGATTTAATAGTACCAAAAAATACATTTTCAATCACATTTCCAAATCGGAGTTTCAACCAAACCTCAAAGTCAACTGATATATTAGTTTTCTCCAATTTATTTGTGAATACTTCTATGAAGATGGGTTTGGAAAAGTCAGGAGATAGTATTATCATTGATAAAAAGAACAGGCCATTTCAATAGCCCTCAAGATAAATCATATAACTTGTAATATTCAAGCTAGTAACCTTGAAAATTAGTCAAGCTTTTGTCAATGATGTTAATTTAAGGTATGATCCACAAGAAAACCCCCACCCCACCTGAAAGGAATGTGTAGTGCAGGAAAAGCAAAGTCTGGCTCCAAGCACTAGCTCTGCCTCAGCTAAGGATAAGAGAGGAAGGAAAGGGAGTAGATAGAAGTCACTAACTGAAGCCCGGAAAGCAAAACCTTGGCCAAATCCTGTCTTTGTGGCCTGCAGTGGGAGTCGATAAATAATATAAACATTTCATTGCGTCTCTTTCCAAATGTGACTCCACAGCATAACACAATGCTTTAGGTATAGAAAACTTACCCTTATTTCCTTAACAAATGGAACGTAAGCTTAATGCATTTACTTTGGGAAAAATAATTCTGATTATGGACAGTGCATCTACGTGGGCTTTATCCCAAAGAAGCTAATTCATTTACCAGAACATTCGAACTAGTTTTATTTCTTTTTTTTTTTTAAAGTTTTATTTATTTATACAAGCACTGGGTACAGTCAGAAGCGTGGGAGGGTGAGAGAATTCACCGAACTAGTTTTATTTCTTCCATGTTCTCCCAACTAATGCCGATTCTCAAATCCAGCCATATTTCTCAGATCCAAGCAAACTGAATTATCTATTTTCACTTATAGACAGCTCATGATTTTTGCCTTTCTTCATACTATATCCTATTCTAGCTCCTCAAATGCAAGGCTTCCCTACCCTTCAAATGTCTAGTTTCTAAACGTCCTCCCAACTCAATTTTTCTGAGCAAATATTTACTGAGTTCCTCTTATAGGTCAGGCATTTTGGCTAGTCTCTAAAAATAGGATCCTGAACAAAATAGACATCACCTTCAGCCCTAAGTCCCCAGTAAAGACTTCTCCAGTATACACCAAAGCCTCTCATGACAAACTGTTTGATCCATTAGAGCAGTGGGCACATATTTTACCACCCAGCTAAGACTCAGAACAGGCCTCCCTCCTATTCTGTAGTTGAGTGGAAACAGAAGGCATGAAAAGGTCTCTGAAGTGAAGAATTCAGAGATGAACATTAAAGAACGCATTAGCTCAACCTTTCTTATCCAAGACATTAAGTCAACCAAGAACTGGCCTGCAATTTTGCTCTGTAACCTACCAGGAAAGGTTGCACAAGAGAGAAGGAATAAATGGACAGAGAGATTTCCAGTCAACTTTGTTACTGGCCAGCTTTGCTGATTTCCTGGATTTCCTGCATCTGGGGTTATGTGCCTGGCACTAGGGCAACTGGAGGAAACGAAGCTTTCAGTTTGACTCAGGGGAAGAAACAGAGAAAGGTACAAGAAAAGGTTATTCAATAGTCTGGTTCAATAAGGATACATGAGGATATTAAAGTTTAATCTGCCGTGTTCTAAGTTCTGATTTTTGTCTTCTTTTGATAAACAGAGGAGGTGGAAGGAATTACCATTGCTTCAAATGAACTGATAAGGAGATTTTAATGTAAAACTACTGATAATATGAATGTAACTGATGAAGTGAGTCCCTCAAATTCTGAAAACCTTATACAAGGTAAGTATTGTAAACAAATTAGAATGTGGATTCTCATTAAATAGGAAGGACTTTTCCTACCTTCATGAATTTCTGTATTTTGAAAGTCAACATTTCCCTACAATAAAGCATCTTTTTAAATAACTTATAGCCACTAACTTACATTTTAATAAACAGTTATTTTGACTCATTTTGGCCAAGGCTAAATAAGAAATTCAAATATTGTGATGTTCAGGTAACAATGTTGAAGTATTTCTGCATTTCAGTGGCAGTATCTTTCTAAAAAGGTAAGTCACAGGACTTTACATAAATTGAGTATGGTGTCCGGTTGGCATAGTAAGAGACAGTGATAACATTTTATAAAAAACTTTGCCTCTGCTGGTTTTGTGAATACAAACATGCAAAACCACTCACCAATGAAAGACTATGTTCGATTCCACATCAGTGACAAAACAAGACAACTGCTTTACTTCTCAATTATTGGCAATTCACACTAAGAATGACTAGAAAGTGGGATAGAAGTCATGTGTCAAAAAGCACTTAAGGAGGGCCTTCTCGGTGGCGCAGTGGTGAATTCTCTCACCTTCCCGCGCTTCTGACTATACCCAGTGCTTGTATGTATAAACAAACAAACAAACAAACAAACAAGTAAATAAATAAATAAATAAATAATCATAGGTCCAATTTGAAAAAAAGAAATCTTATATATCCTTTTTGATTTTCCATGTATACAAGATATCAATTGCAAGCAAAAATTCTGCTTCAATTTTTGCGATTTCCCCTCTTTTGTCTAATTACATAGGCCAGTGATTGCAGAACAGTCTCAAATAAAAGTGACCACAGCAACAGCGTGCATTCTCGCTTAGTAGTTCCCACCCTGACTTTACTGGAAATGCTCCACATGTTAAACAAACTTTTATCAACTTTCATCAGCGACACCACGCACTGCTTCGGTGCTTCCCAGTCTCCTGCTTTCCTCGCTGACTTCCATTATCCAGCACCTTCAAAGCTGAAAATTCCCTCAGCCTCTGCAGCACGGGTTCCATTCCAGGCAGGCCAGGGAGATTCCCACATGGCGCAGCAGACCTCTCCTGTGCAGACCTCTCCTGTCTCGCCCGCTGCTCCCCTCAGCAGTGCTTTGGGTACATTTGCCTGTTCTGCTCCCTGCTCTGTCTCTAGCAAATCCCCTCACCCTCCTGTGCCTCTGGCCTGTACCCCAGCTACTGTATAAATAAAAAAATAATAATTAAAAAAAAAAAGAAGCACTTAAGGAAACCAAGAAGCAGATCAGATTCTAGAATGTGTGGTTCCAATGAATGCATCTGGATGCATCCAATGCCCACTTGAGAATCTTCTCCTAAAGAATAAAAACCAGAGCGAAGAGATGAGAAGAGGGATGGAAAAGAGGAAAAGTTAAAGGAGGGGAACAGAACAAAACAACCCCGCGTGCGGGTCCGCCGAGGCGGCAGCCCCGGCTTCTGTCCCACCGCGCGGGGACGCAGCCTGGCCCCGCGCGCCCCGGGCGCAGCCCCAGCCCCAGCCCCAGCCCCAGCCCCAGCCCCAGCCCTGCGCGCCGTCCGGCTCACTGACCTGCGCAGACAAAGAGCAGGACCAACTTCGGAAGCAAGACCCCTGGACACCCGGGCAGCCTCCGCGTGTCCATCCAAGCCGGTGCCCAGCGGTTGCGCGCCAGGACGGACGGACAGACGGACTGGAGAGAGGCTGGGAGCTCAGGGAAGGCGCGGAGCCCGGGAGGATGGAGGGGACCGGGGCGGCGAGAGGGACAGAAGGCGCGCCCGAGAGGGGTCGGGCGGGGACCCGCCCCGGGCGCTGGGTGGGATCGCCGGAGGGGGCGCGGGCCGGCCGGCGCCGGGCGCGCGGGGGGCGAGGTCGCTTTGTCTCCCCGCGGCACTTCGGGGGCGTCCCGGGCCACCCGGGCTCACATTTCATCTCCGCGGGTGGCACCGACGCAGGACAGGGGGCGGGGGTGGCCCCGACTCCTCCCCACGCTGCGGCTCCCCCTTCTCTGGAGGGACTCCGGGGGCTGGTCCTCCCCGGCGGCAACTTTTCCTCACCTCGGGCGCTGGCTGTGGCTGTGGCTGAGGCGCTAGGCGAGCTCCCGGCCCCGCCCTGCGCTCCAGTTTTGCCTTTTGAATGAAAAGCCATGAATGAAAAGTTTGTTTTTTTTATCTTTAAATACACGAATGGAGGGAATTTTCAGCTTTGAAGGTGCTGGATAATGGAAGTCAGCGAGGAAAGCAGGAGACTGGGAAGCACCGAAGCAGTGCGTGGTGTCGCTGATGAAAGTTGATAAAAGTTTGTTTAACATGTGGAGCATTTCCAGTAAAGTCAGGGTGGGAACTACTAAGCGAGAATGCACGCTGTTGCTGTGGTCACTTTTATTTGAGACTGTTCTGCAATCACTGGCCTATGTAATTAGACAAAAGAGGGGAAATCGCAAAAATTGAAGCAGAATTTTTGCTTGCAATTGATATCTTGTATACATGGAAAATCAAAAAGGATATATAAGATTTTTTTTTCAAATTGGACCTATGATTCTTTATATTTTTAAAAATATAATTCTTACATCATTTTTCATTTGTGACAATGTATGCATTTTCATTTTGGTTATAGTCCCCATACAATTGCACACCCCTTATTTTGACCCTAATCAAAAAAAAAAAAATATATATATATATATATATATAAGATTCTTAACTACAGAAAAAAAAAAACACCCCATCATTTTCCTTCACAGACATAAAAATCAGGAAGTTCTCAGCTTTACACATGTAGCAAAAAAGGACATGACTAAGTGACTAACAATACTTCTCTTGACTAAGAAATTTCAGCATTGTAAAGATAGTAAATTTCCCTAAATTAATCTATAAATCTAGAACTTTAACTGAAGTCAGTAATAAGAGCATCATGAATTTTTTTTTTAAAGATTTATTTATTTATACAAGATTGATTGATTGATTGATTGATTGATTTATACAAGTACTGGGTACAGTCAGAAGCGCGGGAGGGTGAGAGAATTCACCAGAGCCAGAGCGGGGAGCAGAGCAGGCAGAAGGACCGAAGTACACTGCTGAGGGGAGCAGCGGGCGCCATGCGGGACCCTCCCCCAGTGTCCGGGGAGCAGCCGGGGATCGAACCGGCACTGCAGAGGCAGCGGGCAGCTTCGCAACCCAGCGCTCAACCGCTGCGCCACCAGAGAGGCCCATCATGAATATTTTTAAACCAATCTGATTCAAAGTTCAAGTAGAAAAATAAACATGAAAATCTCTTAAAAATTAGTGGAAAAGCCTCAACAGATAATAAATATAATGGCATAATAAATAGTGATTAACTATTGTTATTAGTGTTGTGGTTCTGAGCAGGCCTCTGTGAATTCATAACTTATATAAAAATCAATTACATATTAATTAAACATTAAAATTTAAACAGCAACTCTGAAGATACTAGATACAAGTTGGAAAAGATGACATTTAAATCATTATGGAATAAGAGGTTTTTCTAAGCATTATGAAAATCTCAGAAACCATAAAAGAAGAAAATTGAGCAATTTGATTGCATAAGAATTAAAACTTTCTATGACAAGTCAAGCATTCAGCTGACAAAAGTATTTGCAAGGCATAGAATAGACAAAGGCCTGACCTCCTTGGTGTATAAGGAGCTTAATAAAATCAACAAGGAAAAGAAAACAGCCAGTAGAAAACCAAGCAGGGAAATTAGAAGATATGTGCATATATGTATGTAATATATACACCTTATAGATCATGCATGTCATGTGTATTATATATCTTGCATAGTGATACATTTATCTTCTAGTCTTCTAAAACAATCGAGTCACAATAGCTCTGGAAGACTGGCTTTTTGCCATTGATTCCAGTAGGAAGCTGTTGTGTTGGTGGGAGATGTGTCTTCCAGCTGACTTTTCAGGACAGAGAGCCTTCCCATCAGATCATTCAAAACATTGGCCAAGTAAGCTTGCCTACTAGTCCACCACTGCAAAAGAAAAGCCACTTTAAGACACTCAGGTGCTTAGAAAACCCAACTCATTTGTCATCCAAAGGTAACAATAGATGCCAAATCCTTCAAGGAAAAGTGGTAGCTTAAAGAAATAATTTAAGAATTAAAAAAACAAATAAATATGTTGCCTATGTATAATATCTATGCACAAATATGTATAAAACGAGAAACCTTGAGAACACAACACTAAGGGGACATAAAAGAGTTTATAGAAATTAAAATAAAACTTGATTCAAGATTTTAAGAATCACAGAAGAGAATTATGGCCACAGATTAAAAATTATTTAGGCTGTTGGATCAAATACCATATTCATAACTTAAAGGAAAGACATAAATACAAACTATGAGTAAATATATGAAACACTAAGACACATAGAGGAGACCTAAGGTGAGAAGAACGTGCAGGTGAGCAGCAGTTTTAGAAAAAATAAAGAGTGAAGAAGCAAATATCAGACATTTTTTAAAATTCTGAGCTATAACAGAATTTGAGTTTTCAGATTTAACATGGTGAATTCCAAGAACTTTTTAAAAAAAGAAGCATGCACATATGTAGACTAGAAACCTACCTGAACAAATTTAAATTCAGAATCATCTGCAAAAGATTTCTGCTTCTCCATATTATGGACATTTTAGTATGCCGCTGTTTTTCATCTTCACCTTCTTACGATAGTTTGACTATAAACAACCCTTCAAATTGCCCTTTAGAAGTCCTCATTTTCATGTCTCACAAAGATTTCTGATGAGCATCTCATAACTGAAAGTGGAATTTGAGTTTGTGGGTTTTTAACTCTGCTCAATATGGCTATTTTAGCTTTTCAAAGGAAACTTGGAAGATTCATGTACTAACTTTGTGCTTTGAAATATTAATTTAGTTGAAAAAGTCTGTCTATAGGGAAGTAATTTTGTTCTTGTAATCCATCTTGTGTAGCATTGAATGTGTGACTTTTAAAGATTGCAGTGTAAGAATTTCACATTTTTGAGGAAATATACTACTAGCATTACTAAGTATGTGATGGAACCTATTTTATGTAACTGTTTTAATCAGATGCTTCATCATTTCTTTAGCTTTATGGAAAATGCCCCACATCTGTCCCTCATTTAGAGAAAGACAAAGGACAAGATGGAAACATTACTGTTTAGATATTTTCTGCCTTGTCCTATTATTTGTGGCACTTGCATTTGCTTAGAGGATGATGAAGCAATGGCATTTGTGTACTCACTTTTTTTTTTAAGATTTATTTATTTATTTATAGAAGCACGGGGTACCGTCAGAAGCGCGGGAGGGTAAGAGAATTCACCAGAGCCAGAGAGGGGAACAGAACAGGCACACTGACGAAATACACTGCTGAGGGGAGCAGAGGGCACCATGTGGGATCGAACCAGTGCTGCAGAGGCTGCGGGCATCTTCGCAGCCCAGCGCTCAACCACTGCGCCACTGGGGAGGCCCAGTACTCACTTTTTTTAAGTTGGCAGATAATGTCAAACAGCAGATTTGCGGGCCTCCCCAGTGGCACAGTGGTTGAGCATTGGGTTGCAAAGCTGCCCGCAGCCTCTGTAGCACCGGTTTGATCCCTGGCTGCCGGGCGAGGGTCCCACATGGCGCGCAGACCTCTCCTGCCGCCCGCTGCTCCCCTCAGCAGTGTACTTCGTCGGTCTGCTTGCTCTGCTCTCTGCTCTGGCTCTGGTGAATTCTCTCACCCTCCCGCACCTCTGACTGTACCCAGTGCTTGCATAAATAAATAAATAAATAAATAAATCTTTAAAAAAAACAAAAGCAAAAACAAAAAACCCCAGCAGATTTGCAAGAGTATTACAAAAACACCCATGTATCCTGTGCCCACCTTCACCTATTGCTAACATTTTACCCAAACTATGTCATTTGTTCTTTTTCTCTATGTGTGTATACTTGACTGTTTTTTGGAACCATTCCAGATAAAGTTGAACACAGTATAGCTCTTCCCCCTTAAATACTTTAAAGTGTGTGTTAATTTGTTGGAAATTTCCATTTTATAGTTGCTGATTTTTGTTTTCCTGGGATCTTTGGGGATACATTAAGGCATGCAACTATCCTGCTTTTCAGCAAATGCCCTTGCCAACTCTTAACTTTAACATGTATCAGTGATTTTTTTTTGCTTGCCAACTCTTAACTTTAACATGTATCAGTGATTTTTTTTTTGCTTGAAATAATTTTTACTGTGATGCTAGCAAAATGATGATCCTTTGAACTTTAACTTTGTCTCTGGGTTCATCAATTGGCACTCATTATTTGAATCAAGAAGGCTTTTCTCCCTCATTGATTAATGTATTATCAATAGAAATGTATGAATTCCTGCTTTTTCAGTTCAAGAGTGTATTATTCAATTGCCTCAAATTTTTCCATATTTTGCCATTAGAGTCCCTTCAAGCTAACTCCTGTGTTCTTGTAACATATTCCCACAATTGTCTTGGGACCTTCTTGATTTTCTGAAATAAAAATTGCTCCAGGTCCACAGTAAGTCTATTCTGTCCCTGCCCTGGAATCAGTCACCTCTCTGAGGAGTAGAGGGTCTTAATAGTAATAATAATGTTATCAGATCTTGTAACTAGACGTGTTTGTTGTTCCTGGAAGCACTTTGTTTCTTGGCCCTTCTGGGGAAAGAGATAGGAAATATATGCATATTTGTACACTCACACACTTGTGTATATATCTGTGTGCACACACACACACACACACAAGCACACTCACAGATCCCTATCTTAGAAATCATGAGTCTATACCATTATCTCCAATTCTAATCATCTACCATAAGA